GAAAGCTGCAAGATCTCTGTGAGCCCCAGATGGTTATAAGTTTTAGTTTCTGTGTTTTTTTGTCAACAGACGGTCAGTGGGATTTATCAAACTATCACCTCATGGACCTCGGTCGGCCTCATCACTCCATCCGCTGCATGGCTGTGGTCCACGATAAGGTGTGGTGCGGCTACAAGAACAAAATCCACGTCATCCAGCCGAAGAGCATGCAGATCGAGGTGACCTTTGACCCCCGCCGTCACGTCATCTAAACTGAACAAATACCTTGTTCATTAATCATCGTCTTTTCAGTGTGATGAAGTCTGAATCTCTGACATCTGGTTATTTTTCTGCTCTGTAGAAATCCTTCGACGCCCACCCTCGCAGGGAGAGTCAGGTGCGGCAGCTGGCGTGGATCGGCGACGGTGTGTGGGTGTCGATCCGGTTAGACTCCACGCTGCGTCTGTACCACGCACACACGCACCAGCACCTGCAGGACGTGGACATCGAGCCCTACGTCAGCAAGATGTTAGGTGAGAGAAAGTCGGCTTGTTTTCAAATAATCTGCTGCAGACTCTCGTCGTTAGGTTGTATTGTCATCGATCTCCAGCCCGTCCAGTCCGACGTCATTTTAACTCTTCTTCTTCTTCTTCTTCTTCACAGGAACTGGCAAGCTGGGCTTCTCATTTGTGAGAATCACAGCTCTCCTCATTGGTGGAAATCGTCTCTGGGTAGGAACTGGAAACGGTGTGATCATCTCCATCCCGCTGACAGAGAGTGAGTCTCACTTTTATTTTTCTTTCTCACACTAACTCACACGTCGACAAAGTGTCTCTGTGTCCTAAATAATAATCCACACAGTGCCTGCCTGATGTTAGAAAAAGAGGGGCCTATTTCACCTTCTGTTGTCATGACGATTTCATCCATCTGTTAGAAAGTCGTGCAGAAATCAGCCGTCTGATGTTTAAGTTAATAAGATCCCCTGAACACACGGTAAGGACCCTGCAGAGTTTCTCTGTCTGAAGGTCATCGAGCAGAATATCTTAAAAAACATCAACAGAGGAAGTTAACATTTGTTAAAACATTGGACCACTGAAGTAGTTTTAATCCATCAGAAACACAGAAAAAACTTTTAAAAAACTCAGCTCCAGCCTCTCCACACGTAAGACTGACTTAGCCCAGTTTAAAATCTCTAAATATTCAGAGGCCTCGCCAACACTTGAAGATTGCACGATGAATAGATAAATCAATAAGACAGGCTGAATGCACACAGAGACATTCAGACGTACACAAACAGATCTTGAAGTCTTTGTTGTTGTCCCTTCGTACCCCTATATTTTGTATTTATCTAAACAGGAAGATTTTTTATGAAACCAGGCTGGCTGCGATGCACTTCAGTACGCTTAATTTGTCAGGAAACACAACACATGCTAAAGTGAAATGTTGTAAATGCCCTCTTGCTGACCACCTGCAGTACCCCGCTAGGCCCACTAGAGGGCTGCAACTCAGATAAACGTTAAAACAATCCTACATACTGCAGCGCTCCCCATCTTTCTCTCCACCTGTCTGTTTTTCTGTCTCCTCTCAGCAGTTTCACCTCTTTAATAAACAGTCCTGGTCTTAACCTTTACTGTTACTGTCCTCTTTCTTCCTCCTCCTCCACCTCTTCCTCCTCCTCCTCTCCTCCTCTTGCTCCTCTCTCTCCTCCTCTCTCTCCTCCTCCTCCTCCTCTCTCCTCCTTCTCCTCCTCCTCTCTCTCCTCCTCATCCTCTTCCTCCTCCTCTCTCTCCTCTTCCTCCTCCTCCCTCTCCTCCTCCTGTAGCGGTGGTCCTTCACCGGGGACAGCTCCTTGGTGTGAGGGGTAAGTGGTAGCACTCCCTCCCTCCTGCTATTGTGATCTTCCTTTTCTTTTGCCCACTCTCAAACCTTCAAATCCCCTGAAGCAGCGTCTTCATACACAAAAACACAAAATGAAGCCGCGTCAGGCTCTGAACTAGTCTCTTTATCTGTGAACAGTTGAGGCACACAGGAGGTGTTCCTCCAGAGCGTTGTTTTTATCTTTTGTTTGCTTTGCATGCTGTTGAATATTCTGGTTTCACTCTTCAGTGGCTAAAAGTTGTGACGCAGATTCATTTGCATGCAAGACGTGTTAAACTTTTATTTTGGATATTCTAAAAACCCTCTTCTCATTTTTCATGTGGATTCTATGAAGGTTTCTGTTTTTTGTGATTTTCTTGCAAACATTCCCGATTGGTTGGATTTCTCACTCCTGCTCTTTTGTCTCTCAGCCAATAAGGTGTCTCCCACGTCGTCGGGCGGAGTGATCCACGTGTACGGAGACGACGGCTCCGAGAAGAGCAGCGGCAGCTTCATCCCGTACTGCTCCATGGCGCAGGCCCAGCTCTGTTTCCATGGACACCGTGATGCCGTCAAGTTCTTCGTCTCCGTGCCCGGTACGCACAGAGCGGCTTCTACTGTCACAACACAACGCTTAAAAACACGATCATCACAGACGTCTTCACCTCTTTTATTTAAGTCTCCTAAATACTCCTGATGATGAGACAAATATAACATTCATACATTTCAACTGAGGGAACTTGTGTCTGGTTAGGGTCCTTCTTTAAGTATTCCTGGAACGAGGGGCAGTGTATTTTAAAGCGTTCTCGTCCTAGTTCTGTTCTTACTGTTTCGTCTGTGACAGGAAATGTTCTGGCCACGCTGAACGGCAGCGTGCTGGACAGTCCATCAGAGGGTCAGGGCTCAACAGCGCCCTCCCAAGAGACGGAGGCCCAGAGTGTCCATAACGTGCTGGTGCTGAGCGGAGGAGAGGGCTACATCGACTTCCGTATAGGTGAGAAAAGATGACACACACACACACACACACACACACACACACACACACACACACACACACACACACACACACACACACACACACACACACACACACACACACACACGGTCTGGTGAATCTGTGCAGAGCAGTAAACACCTTGACTTCTGAGAGAGATGATTCTGCATGTTGATATCGTTCTTTTATATTTTAAATGCCACAAAATAAAAGACACAAGAGAGATATGTATGAAGTCTAAATATTTGTGAAGACAAATAAAAAAAACATCATTAAAAGATTAATTTAATATCATTAATCATGGTTAAATAATAAGTATTTCCGTTTTTCTTTGTATGTGTTCTTAATTCGCTCTTATAATGGGAGTGACTGTTTTGGCTCTTTACTGCCCTCCAGTGGTCGTAGCGTGGAACTGCAGCGTCACATCACTTGCAGTTTTCTCTTATGGCCGCTAGAGGGCAGTGAAGACTCATATCAAACAACAAACTTGTGATTTTCTCTTCAATTTCTGAATAAATATTTGATCTTTTTCATTGGCAAAACATTTTTATTTTTAATTCCACTTCTTTTAGGCTTAGGAAATTATTTAATAGGGGCGCCAGTAGCCGAGTGGTTAGTTTGTGCTCCCCATGTACAGAGGCTGCAGTGGGTTCGGATCCGACCTTTCCCACGTCATTACCTACTCTCTCTCTCTCTCTCGCCACTATTTCTAACTCTATCCACTGTCCTGTCTCTCTTATAAAGGCACAAAAAAAACCCAAAATGGATTAATTCATTTCTAAATAACTGAAACTTTACGTCAAAGTATTGGTTTAGAGATCACTAAATTAAACAGACTAATGTCAAACTCCCAGCACTGAATCTCTCCGTTTACCTTCTTCATCCTCAGGAGACGGCGAGGACGATGAGACAGAGGACGCAGAGAGCGCTGCTGCTGCTGCTGCCGCTGCCGCAGCTGCTGCCGCCATCGCCACTGCTGCTGGAGCTTCGCAGATGAAACCGGCTCTGTGCAAAGCTGAGCGGAGCCACATCATCGTCTGGCAGGTGTCCTACATACCCGAGTGACACCTGGGTCTGCTTTAACGACCCCTCACCCTTAATTTAAAAAAAACCTCCTCTTCTTGAAAGCTTCCAGCAGCTCAAACCTTGTAATTATCCCCCCGGTCATGTAAAAGTTCCCCCTTGGCGACCCTCCCGCCGTGTGTAACGATTCTACCCCCTCCTGCCCCGCCACCTTGTAACTTTAACGCCTTGTAAGTACCTCCTCTGATCTATAATCTGCCTGCCATGATGTTTGTCCCTCACAGGGCATTGTAACTATCTCCATGAGCCTTGTAACCCGGCCTCATAACTACCTCCCTCCTCTGTATCGATCTTATATTCACCCTGTAAGCACACCCTATCTCCTCCTATATTTACCTCGATTGTCCTGCATCCGCCCCAGAGTTCCTCCTCCTCCACTTAGTTTGTCATCTGTGAAACCTCATCTTAAAGCGAAGGCCCGACATGCAACCATTTTACCAAAAAAACAGAAGCAGCTACAGGAAAGTGAACGACGGCACCGACTCACTTTCTCCACCAGATGTGTCTGATTTCTCTGACGGCAGCCAATCAGGAATCCAGAAACATTCACACCCAAAATATGGACCCCGTTTTGAATCGAGCTCATGGCTGCAGACGTTTCCAAAGTTAAGTCATCTAGTAGTGGATGGTGACGAGGCTAAATGAATGTTTATGGAACAGAAAGAAAGTCCGATTTATGATATTTTGCAGCCAGTCCTGCTTAAAGTTTGCTAATTTTCTAAAGTGATTAAAATAATAACTTAAGGGGCATTAACAAGACCCTACATGTACGTGGAGCAGCTGTTCGATATAAACAGGGTCGTTGTTTAAATCAGTCTCAGGAGTCGAGCGTGTTGTGTTCAGGGTCTCTTATCTCTCCTGTGATTGGCTGTGGATCAGACGGTGCGGTGTGAAGCAGGTGATCAGTGAGCACGTCGTCTCTATGTGTACAGAGACTCTCAGCCCATCCTTTCTGTTCAGTACGGATTCATGCATCGACCTCTTCTCTGTGTGGATTAAATATTAAACATATTTGTGTGCTGAAAACACTCGTCGTCTACGCCTGGATCTCTTTTCATCTACAAACACAGACATCTGACCCAACGGGTTTCCTGAAAAGATTTATTGTTTTTGACCATTTGAACATCATTTCATTCAACATGACGAGAGTTTAAGAGTCTGAATGTGACAGAAACTACACACACACACACAGACACAACGGAGCTTCAGTTGAGCAGCTGTAAAAAGTTGACTTAATGAAGACGTAATGAACACGTTTGGTTGATTTTTTTTTTTTTCCTGAATAAGCTTTTCGAGGACATGCACGTTTCAGCAGAAGTGAATCAAATACACAAATATATATATATAAAGTTGTAACTTCTTTAAATAGACATCAACATTAATAGCAAGTTTAATTACAACCTGTTATTGCTCCACATTCAAAGCTTATTGCATCGATACTGTAAACATGAAGTAGTGTTATTACGGACGTAACAAGATCTCATATTAAAGGAGCAATCTGTAACTCTGACCCCTAGCTTTTTTTGTGCAACATTTAAAAACATTTATAGTAAACTTGAATGGAGACTGGTTTAAAGGCTTTATATGCGATTTTCACACTTAAATGTAATAGAAATCAAGTATATCCTCTGAAAATAACTCTGTGAGTCATGACTGTCTACAATGGATGTAACACCAGAGTCCCACTGTCTGTGATGCTTTCAGAGTTTTCGGAGTCCTATCTTCACTTTGTTTACATCGTCAGGACGGCCGGCTGACTCCTCCCCTCACGTATAAATTCATTCATTTCAGGTAAATTTACATGCAGTGTGAAGATACGAGCATAATAAAGATCACTAGCATTAGCACGCTAACACAACAAGTTGTTTTGGTTTCATGCTGGTGCTCAAGGGCGACATCTGCTGGATCAAAAAATCGCATATAAAGCCTTTAAGGTCTGCTCCCTCAGAGCATGTTTGCTTTGTAAAGTTATTCAACCTCTGAAATGAAGTTCAGACACATTAGAAACAATATGAATAGAAAAGAAAGCAGTGAGAGATCTAGCATGACAGCATAGCGCCTCCTCAAAGGTTAAAGTAAATTCATCTCACACCGACCTCAAACTAAACCCTGGTTGGTGCAGCGAGAGGACGGAGAACCTTCAGGTCAGGCAGACGTTAGTCGTAGATCCAGTGTCTGCTCTCGTCCTCCCAGCACTGCAGCTCGTTCTGACGAAACCACAGAGAGATCTCTCTCTGAGCGCTCTCCACCGAGTCGCTGCCATGGATCACGTTCCTGAAACCACACACACACACACACACACACACACACACACACACACACACACACACACACACACACACACACACACACACACACACACACACACACACACACACACACACACAGAGAATAAAAACTAATTAAATCATCACATATTGCTCCATCTCATCATTCAGCTTCTTTAAAGTCTTTCTCTAAAACAAAACAATGAATGTTCCTTCCATGCATCGTGTCACCAATATCCTGAAGTATAAAGAGGAAGTGACCTTATTCATATTGTGAATCGTTGACTGAAGGTCCGACCTGCATCATCCTGCTTCCTGTCTGTAAAGTTTGTCTTACCTGCCCACCTCCACACAGAAATCTCCTCGGATGGTTCCGGGTAGCGAGTCCGCCGGGTTCGTCTCTCCCAACATCTTACGCGCCGTTGTCACCACGTCAAGCCCCTCCCACACCTGCACAGACCGACACAGGAGTACAATGAGCGAGCAGAAACAATATCACAGGGTGCCGTTCCTCCTGTGGGATCGAATACTTCATCAATCCCTGAGGGGAAATCCAGGTTCACACTCCGTTATTAAGAGACCTTCCACACACACACACACACACACACACACACACACACACACACACACACACACACACACACACACACACACACACACACACACACACACACACACACACACACACACACACACACACACACACACACACACACACACACACACACACACACACACACACACACACACACACACACACACACACACACACACACACACACACACACACACACACACACACACACACACACACACACACACACACACACACACACAGGGCCAAAGAAACAGAACTATGTTCTGCTGCTGAGCTGACTTCATCTTTCAACACATCCACAAATATCACTTTAATGTCTGCAGGCTCATGAGACAGAAACCAAACATTACTCCGGGTTAAACTGAGCTGCGTCCCCCGATGTTCCCTCGAGCATCTTGATTCTTTCTGCAGCAGGTTTGTAAACTATGAATCAGCATCCTGTGAACACGGGCAGTAAGAGGCAGAATCTCACCATCGCTACAACAGGTCCAGACTTCATGTAGCTAATGAGTCCTGTGAAGAACGGTTTACTCCTCAGGCTCCAGTAATGTTCTTTAAGAAGATCCTCCGAGGCCTGAAGCACAAGACAAGACACTGAAATCAGATTCAGATTTATTTAGATAAAACCACTTTGAGAAGATTCAGAGAGAGACTAACCTGCACAAGTTTGAGTCCCACAAGTTTGAAGCCTTTCCTCTCGAAGCGACGCACGATCTCTCCCACAAGTCTCCGCTGCACGCCATCCGGTTTCACGGCGAGGAAGGTGCGCTCGTTCACACCTGTCCAGACTGAACACAAAAATAATTAAATCGCACACTGATGGGGAGCACATGAAGTGAGGAGCAGCATGCATGCACCTCAACTAAACATCCTGGAAGAGGAATGATAAAAACTGTTGTTTTCTTTTCATCCACAAAACGGGATTACGCCTGGGGTTGTCTGGTGATGGTTAAAGTTGTTAAAAACAAAGATGGCTGCATCACTGATGTATTTAAGTTTAACAAACATTGACGTCCAGTCACTGAAGGGGATGCAACACCCTTTGACAGGTTGCATTGTGCAAAACAGCTGCAAAGGCTCAGCAGTGTGTTTTGACTTCACTTTCACTGCAAAGTTGATCAGATAAATCAGATGTTGACATCTTTGGGATGCTGATGACCCAGGGGTTAAGATGCACCCGTCATACAGAGGCCACAGTCCTCCAAGCGGGTTCAAGTCTGCTGTGTAAAGAGTCCATCAGAAGTAACAAATCCCATTTATACACATTCATACGCCGCTAATAACAAAGCAGCAGGAGCAATTTGAGGTGAAGTGTCTTGCCCAAGGACACATCAACATGTGGCTGCAGGAGCTAGGGATCGAACCCCTGACCTTCCAGTTGGGAGATGACTACTCTAACCACTGAGCCACAGCTGGTAAAAGCTATAAAATAAAATAAAAAGGCTTTAAAAAAGATGTTGACATATTTTAAGATACGATTTGTAGTTGAAAAGATAATAAATTAAAATAAAAAGAGGAATGAACATACTCAGGTTTCATAGTATGACAGGTTTTATGTTTGCAGACTCTGTAGACACACACACACACACACACAGACACATAACCCCAAGCCTGTTTATATTAGTGCACACAAGTTTGAACTTTAACTACTCCACACGGTTAGTCCACTGCAGACAACACGTCAACACGTCACAGCAGCTCTGGATCATGTCGGTTAGTTTGTCCTCACCGGAGTCTTCAATCCGAACATGTTTGACAACCAAATCTTCCAGTTCATGCTGCAAAACTCGCTGTGACCTTTTTCTCGGCCCCATTGCAGCACCGAGCAGCAAACATGAACCTGAACGCACCACTGGAAGCGCAACATACGAGCTCTCACAATGCGTTCATGTAGTATCGGAAAAATCGGAAAAAGGAGGTTCAGGTGCGAAACTCGTCTTTAGCTCAATTGTCATAAGTAACACCGTGTTATTTTTTTATAAGCATTGTTATGATGACTTAGAGTACAACATATTTTTCTTGAATTGGCATGTTACTTCTCGAGTTTAACAATTTATTTACAGTCTGTCAACAACGTATTGAAGCTGTAAGAACCACTTTTCAAAAAGGAAACTTTAACAATCCGAGGAGCGCCTGAACGCAGCATAAATAGGATGATGAATCAACTTCAACCGCAGTGAGGAGACACGCGGCAGTTCCTTTTTAATTGTATTAAAGTGAACTAGATTAAAGTATTTTTGAAACAGAGACTTGACAAACCGTGTGTGTGTGTGTGTGTGTGTGTGTGTGTGTGTGTGTGTGTGTGTGTGTGTGTGATGCAGAGCTCTCATGCTAACACGTTTCTTTATGTTATTTGTTAATAAAACGTCGGCAGACTTTAATTAATTCATTATAACTTTGACTCCAGTGAACATGAACACAGTCTGTGAGTTGTGTCGGCTCCATTTTCACCGGTAAACTCTGATCCTGTGTCCGGACAGTCCGCGTCTCCTGCCCGCTCCTGGAGGGAACTGTGGTCAGTTTATAAACATTTTTTTTAAACATTTCTAACACAGAGAGGAAGTGAATCTAACTGCAGAGAGGATGGCGGGAGTTTAAAGAACAGTTAAACACCGACCTGACTGAAAGAGGTAGGCGAACACGGACAGAAACAGGCAGATCATCGTAGCTGGTGGACGGACACGGAGCACACTGGAAGAAGGGGAGGAGACGTACTCACGTAAAGGCACGTTCGAGTTTACCTACGTAAGAACGTACGTTGCTTAGCAACGCTCATACCATGATAAACGCTTATTTACTGACAGGACAGGAGTTAATTTAAAGATATGATATCTGAAAAAGGGTTGAAGTCAACAAAGTGAGAATTTAATATTGTGAAAATTATATTTTAATGGAGGTTAAGGAGAAAAAGGGGGAGAATGTATGTTTTGAAGTTCTGCCTTTTTTAAATGTATTTTATTAGTTTATTTTAAACTTGTGATTTTTTTATTCCACTTTTTTAACTCAATCTTCTAAAAGTGATGTAATATAGTTAAAGCAATGTGATCATGTTAGAGATGAAGATAACAGGCCACTAAACACTTCCTGATTTAAAAAAGAACATTTAGAATCAAAGTGAATTTAAAACATCTCAAACGAGCAGTAAAGAATCATTCACACACAGGTCCTTTAATGATCTACCTCCATCTTGTCTTTATGCTCAGTGGTTGAATGTCCGGCCTAAGTTATATCTGAAGGTATTTCTTTATCACCTTGTTTACCGCGAGTCCTCCAGGCTGTATTAAACTCAATGAAGTCAGACCTGAAAAACTTTTGATGTCCTCTTCTTTCCCTTGAGGACATTTACAGATCGCACTGCGTCCTGAGAGCCCGTCCCTCCCAGGTCATCGTCGTTTTGAACTGTTGCCCTCTGGGGGGTGTTTTAGGGCCAACAAATCAAAAACAAACTTCTACCCCAGAACAATGATGGCACTAAATGCTGCTCCTAAGTGACTGCTGTATGAACGATGCTCTCACCTGTGCGATAACTCCTGAGATAAAAACACTTGAAATAAACCGTTAGACTCATTTCTTTTTGTATCGATTGCTTCTGAAGTATCGAATGCGAGAGCGACATCTTCTTACAATTTGTGGTACGTGTGTAACAACATTAAAGAGATTCTGATTCTGAAGGTGTATGAAGCGCTCTGTAAGAATAAAAGCATCAGCTGTGTTTAAACTCAGATTTAATATGAACAACATCAAACATATGACACCAAGAGAGGCCTGCTTTGGATGAACAGCATTAGGAGTCGAGGTTTTTGCAGGACTTTAAGGTGAGGGTCTGCAGTGTGTTTGGTCCAAATAGTCCAGAATGAGGGACCCTTTGTCTTCAGACTGCCGTCCCCTGTGAGCTCTGCCCATCCTGTTCCTGCCTCTGGAAATAGTCTTTGTTGAGCACGACGTCCCTCTTTAGCGGCAGCGCGGGCTCCTTGCTCACCACGCTGCCTCTCTCTTTCTTGTGCTGGGCGAGCATCATGGCGCGGAGCAGAGGAGGGAACGCGACGTAACGCACAGGCGGCTCAGGGAGCGGCTCAAAGTCCTTAAACTGCTGCTCCATGTGTTTGGGGATCAGACGCCAGTCGTGGTACATCACCTTGTCCACCTCCTTGGCCTCGTTCTCCTGTCTACCTGTAGACACAACATTAAACACGGTCACTACATGCGGATTGTTTATGGAATCATTATTATTAACTACAACTGTCCAGACTTACCCTTGTAGGTGAGGACCCCCCAGGCTTTGCCATGATCCATGTTCTAGAAAATAAATATCAGATACGACCCACTCCGAACATCCTCATGCTCGCCAGCAGGGAGAAGAGGCGGCTCTCCTTGCGGACGTCCTGCCACGCCAGCACGGGCAGCATCTTCCCCGTGAGAGGCCGCTTCATGGTCTCGTAGTCCAGGGCGTACTTCTGGGACTCCTTCGGCCGGGACTTGAGCTCTCGGTACGCCCGGATCTTCCGAGCCATCTCTGCGATGAGGCGAAGTCGCTTTTTCTTCACCATGACGGTGCGATGTTCAGCCGCTGATCCTCCTGCTGATAAACTGCTGTCGGTGTTTATCATGTACGAGAGAAAAGTGACCAATAAGCTCCTTACATAAAACAGTCAGCATGGATCGTTAGAGGAGAGCCATGAACGTGTCACAGCCCTGATATATAACGAGAGAAAAGTGACCAATAAGCTCCTTACATAAAACAGTCAGCATGGATCGTTAGAGGAGAGCCATGAACGTGTCACAGCCCTGATATATAAAGAGGATAAACATCTTCATCATGTCACTACTCCTATTTGACCCTATTTAAATACATAATCATGGAAGACTCTTTCTCTTTCCTTATATAAATAAAATCAAAGAGAGTCCATTTAAATGTTTACAGAAATACTAATAAGTGTTTCATGCTGTAATCAATAGATAAACTTTTGGGGCTTGTAAGGGAGAAACTTTTTGGTTTGATTTAGAAAATACCTTTTAGAAAAATGTTGGGAGATTTGTAAACAAGCTAGGGATACATAAGAAAACATGGTAGAATGTAATTTGCATTAAATGTGTCCTTACATCTCTCTGGATGAACTTTTGGTAGGCTGATTAGAGGCCAGGCTGCTTCAGCTGCTCTCAAAGAAATTAAACCAAAAATGTGCCTAACAGGAAGCTCCAACAGAAAACAATAAATGTAAAAAGAATAATTAATAATTTATTTTAAATAAATTAAATTAAAAACCTAATAAATGTCAATGTGTATCTTCCCAATAAGCAGAGCTCTCCTGATGTTGTTTTGTTTGTTTGTTTTTTTCATATTTGTTGTTGTTTGATTTCTAATGTTTATACTTTTATACTGTACGGGCAGATATATTAATAATGTCTGTAAATACATGTGAATTAATTTGATTGACATGTTCACATATTTTCATTTTGATCTCTTAATTTAAAAAAATAAAATACATTTAATAAAGTAAAACAAGCTCACCGGAGCCTGTTTAACCGTTTTTAAAAACATTTCCGTACATCGTCACAAACTGTCAGGTTTTATTAACTCTCTCTGATCAACATTATAATGCATTAAATAAATAAAGAAATACCTAAATAATGGTTTTTCGGCTGCAGTACGAGTCCAGATGACCTCCGCAAGCAAGGCACACAACTTCCGCTCACTTGGTCCGACCGGAAAGAGTTCCGTGTGAAGCAGCCGGTGGACTTGGTTCCGCATGAAATACAGTCACATGTAGCACTTTCAAATAAAAGCCTCACTGTAACCTAGTTATTAAATACGAATAAACACTAATACCCTTCATGATTTCTACTCTATTATAAACCAAATGAGCATCTCATTATTTGGTAAGATTATTAGCCTTTGTTATTATTTATTTTTCTAAAAAACAACCGGTGACTGACCTGCTCTAAACCATAACCCCTTTATATTTTTGATCTCATGATGGATAAAATTGATGTGTTAAGATTTAGTTGCTTATTTCACTCAGACTTTACATGACAGCTCTCTACAATGTTTTGAATTATGACTGCAGTACCTATTTTAAACACTAGGTGCCAGAGGTACATATTTCTCCTTAAAGTTACCTGGAGACAAGGCAAACTTGGAAGTCAGGTCTGTAAATAAACAGGAAGTCCTTGGTGCATACGTAGCATTCATTTTATTTCCAGCTGAAACATGCTGATACAGAAAAAGGCGAGTAAAGGTCTTTACATACATACAGTATTATTAGTAAGACGCGGTATAGAAGAAACACTTAGAACTTTCTTATTTACAGTAACACAGTAAGAAAAAGTGCTTGGATGCATCAATGTGAAGACTGTGAGATAAGACAAATAATATATCTGCTGACGTAGAGCCCACCGCTCGGTGGTTACATTTCTTATAAATGGGACAATAAGCGTGTCATGACTAATGGTCCTCTGAACCGCCACCCGTGTGTCAGTGCGTCCACGATAACAGCCTGAAAGACCGTCCCTTCATCACATAAGATGCTTGTATTGCATAGTACCTGAAGCCTTGTTTACATCTCCTTAAACCTCGAGGAGTGAACATTATGAGGCAGCACACTGTGGATAAAACACTATTTAACACTTATACTGTTATATATATTTTTATACTCCAGAAAACTAAATATTATTTACAAACGGGACCCAGAGGAAATGTTTCCACACCATAGTTATTTATAATCTGTTCATACTGAAGTGATCGTCACATCAGGCTGCAGAATGTTTGGATATCAAAGGAATGAAGTTTTCTTTAAGTCCTCCCTCTGGGCCAAGAGGGGAAACACTTTGAACACAACAAGATTCAAAATCGAGTGTGACCGTGAGAGTAACATGAGGAGGAGTTGGGGAAGGAACAAGGCTGTGAAACCCCCAACAGGAGAACAGATCAGTAAAAAGGTGAAACACTCAAACTGCTCAAAGTCTCTTATTTTGTAAGTCAAAGAAAGTCACTTTTTAAAAACGTCCTTAAAACAACGATGAGGTGTAACAGCGATGACTTCATGTGCAACAGTCTCTTCTGAGTAACATCTCTCAGGATCAGATCTTAAAATCCTCTGCACACTGTGCACGTCTGTTTGAAAGAACAGGAAGCCCAGAGTTTCTACAAACATGTCGCATCGTGTCCGGCCTGCTGTCGTCACATGATGCGACTTTCACCTTTTTTTTCTTAAAGTTTTAAATAAATTTGGCGATCCTGGTTATTATTGAATAAAAAACGAATATTTCCTTTGGAGGTCAACATACTATAAAGTACATTCAGATGAACTTCTAATATTTCTATTTTGATCCCTCTGAAAGTTATCGATAGTCGAGCTCTTTAGAGCTGTGGACTGTCGAAAAGATTTTAAAAAAGAATACTCTGATGGTGTTTTCACACATGCACTAAACTCCTGAAAAATTCCAGAAATGTTCGGGGTGAGCTGCTGATGACAACGCAAACAGACAAATTCTTCACCACAACCCAGTACACGTTCTGTGTTAAGTCAGGGTGAAGCAGCAGGAAATCTTCAGGAAATTGAGGGTGACCATGTTTTAAACTACATGACCTAAACGATCTTCTGGCACGTAGTGAACCTGCTTCATGCGGTCAATACGTCTAATTACACAAAGCATCGATATAAAGGAAGAAATGCCATCGTAGCGTTGGACGCTGCTGCTGCTTCGTCCACCGTTTCTTTTATTTTTAAGGGTTTATTTATTTATTTATTTACGCCTTTATTGAGAGACAAGACCGTGGATAGAGGCGACACAGCGGAGAGAGTGGGGAACCCACAAGTTGGATTCGAATCCCAGACCAGACGCCTGGAGGACTACCACCCCATACATGGAGCGCTAACCACTAGGCTCCCGGCGCCCACTTTTTTATGTCGTGTCCTGCCTCCTGAGACGTCCCTCCCCATCAGACAGAGAAATCTCCCCCTGTGACGTGCATGTGTGAACAAGTAACTCAAGTAACTCAAGGGGCCGCCTGGTGGACATTTTGTAGAATTTTTCAGGAGTGCATGTGTGAAAAAGGTTTATGACTTTGGTCTCATGGTATAGAGCGTCCCTCTGATTTTCACTTTGGCAAGGTAACAAAAAAAAACTGTAGACACCAGTTAAAAGTAACATAACTCCGTAACGACATGATAGCATTTAGGATGAGAACATTATACGTGACTTGCATACATGATGAAAACACTGAAAATATAAAGTCTCTTAGTCTTGAATCCCCCTTTTTTTTTTTTGCAAATAAACCGTGATGACCACCAAAATGTGGCCATGCTTGACTTCAGTGTTGCACTGTACTGATCCCCAAACACACATGGCAACAAGTAATGCTATATAACCAACAGCACGTGTTGGACTTATTACTTGAGCTGCTTCGGATACTGATGAGCATGAGGACGTTTGGATGTCATGAAGATCACAGTAAAAACGTGCCGTCACAGTTTTGCACTTACGTACCACTCTGACCCTGTTGGTTCTTTCTTCACTACAGGATAACGTTGACGTTGGGAAAGCTTGAGGCAGGTAGGAAACACTCGATTAGATGCCACTTGTAACATCTGCCAGTGTTTAAGAGGAGGTAGGGTCCACGCCGTCCACTCATGTCCAGCGACATCTCTTCCTCTGACAGGCTTCAGGGTCCGACGTGCAGCCCTCCGAGTCGCTCTCAGAGGATGACGGTCCAGCCAGCGGGGGGGCGTGAGAGCGTGACGACCCATCGGGGCTTTCCTCTGTGGCGCCGCTGTTAAGACTGAGCACCCAGCCCAGTTTGTTGTGGAGCAGCTGACGAAGGCCCGGCGGCAGTGGCAGCACGTCCAGGGTGTCTATGCAGTCGGGCATCAGCTGGCGTAGACGAGCGCAGCAGAGGTAGAGCAGGGAGGTGGGCGCGGAGCACGACCTGATCACCTTCATGCTGCTCTTCGCTGCTGTGGAGCACGCCATCGGATAAAACCTCTTATTCTGGAGCTCTGTGGCTGCAACACCTGGATCAGTGAAAAACATTTGTGTTCATGTTCAGTTTGTTGTGATACCAGAATTTTAAACTTTGATATGATACTGGTAAAAATCAAACAATAGGGATACATGTTTCAAAACTAAGGCAACTAAAAAGTAAAAGTTCTATGCATCCAATATTGTCTCTTTTTTTGTTGTTGAAGTTTTTTGTTGATTAATTCCTCTTCTATGCACCCGTCTTATGAAGCAGATGTAGGTTTTCTTAAAGCTTTGGTATCTTAGATACTATCCAGAAAGAGAAGCTCAAATGTATTCTAACATCTCCCCGCTTTGTTCCAGGATGCAAAAACATTGAACCATGAAAACTTGGAGAGACATCAGGCAACAATTCATGTTAAAAAAATCAAAATGATCATTTGGTTTTGGTAATGTTAGACAACAGCTAATGTTGGGATTCACTTCTTTCTTAACGACACTGTTTGGTAGCGATACACAATAAGAGAGGTCAAGGAGTAAATTACCAGCTAAGGTTCTGTGTTACTCAGTTATCTATGACAACATTCAACCAATTTCTAACATTTGAAAATGACAATTATTCAGTTCTTACCTATGCACTTGCGATTCTTAAAGAAGGTTAGAGTGCCGTGCCACGTGTCCAGGTGGACTCCAATGATGGACCCCTGTCCAAACCGAGACGAGAAGTTCATCTTGTCTCCTTTATGATGCAACAAGCCTGAAAAAAGGAAGATAATCAAAGAAGTGTAACTGATACAAGTGCTGCAGAGAGGAGCTGCTGCTTCATGAGGACAGCTGATAGTCTTACCAGTGTAAGAAAGACCCCAGCTGTCTGTGTCTTTCCCCAACAGGCTGCAGAACGTGTGTCTGTATTTGTCCAGATTGACATCAGAAGTCCCGATGCCGACCATCTGCAGAGAAACAACGGTTAAACTCAGCATGACTTTAAAAAAAAAATCCTCTACCTTTGGATTTCTTTGGATAAAAACAAACATAAGAGTAGGGGGATGTTTAGCAGTAAAGTGTAGAGGTATACCATGTCTGTTCCGTACACTGGAGACGTCATCTTGATCTCCCAGAAGTGCTGCCCTTCAGCCAGCTCCTTGGAGCCGCGGATCGCCGCCGTGCCGCAGCTGTACTCCGAGTGGAAGTTCACTTTGCGATTGTCGCAGCTCACCATTGTTGCTGTCGATCGGCTGTTTGCATCCCAAACCCAGTCGAACTCTGACACATTGGACATCATGAGTTTACTCGTTGCTTTTAATACAATAAGTTAAATCTCAACATGCATATTCCTTAAAATGTGTCTTCTGAATGCACAAATCTGAGCTGGATAAAAGGTCAAATGATTTACTACATAACATATTAAATCACGACGTGTGGGTAGTGCTGTACCTTGGTCGTCCTCGCCACAGTGGCAGTCTCTGACTTGGTGGAAACCTCGCAGACGAGGGTTGTAGTTGGTCTCAGCCTGAGAATCGCAGCCGCAGTACGACTCTCCGGTGACAGGCACTGCGCTGGCCACCGGAGGGACCATCACTGCTGAGAAGTCGGCCTCAGAATCTGAATCACTGTTCTGGGGCGACCAACACAAAACAAAAAGAGTTTGTTCAAACATCAGCAGGAGTGTTTATGTAACCACACAGTACTGGTTGAGATGTTTTCTGTCCTCACTGAGGGACAGGGAAAAATACAGACATTCCTCCCTGCGGGAAAAAAGATTAGTTCTGTTACAAAGCATGCACTGAAACATTAGCTCCAGACATCTGCATCAACAATGACACAGTGTTTATAAAGGCTGCAGGTCAATTAGAGGCTTTAAGTTTGACAAGGACCCCTTATGTGAACTTTGTTTTTACATGAGGACACATCCTATCTCTCCTGCACGGAGTGTAAACAAGGGGAATCATTTAGAACAAACTCATACGTCTGCCTACATCATATGTGGCCTTTCAGTCCAGGTGACACCCACAGCCCTTACCTCTAAGCGCTCATAGCCCCATTCTTCACTTTCAGAAGCCAACACAAGCGCCCGAGCATCAGCATCCCGCCGTATCTCACCCCAAACATATCTCCAAGCACGACTGTTCCTGCTCCGCCTGGACATAACAACAGGGAGGTCTGCCCAGAAGAAGAGTCCACCGGTCAGTTCAGGTTCAGTCCAGAGGCCAAGACGACCTGCATCAGTCCAGCTGCTGGAATACAAGATGACAACATGATCGTTGCTGCTGGTTTTCATAGCTATCACACACAGATCTTTGGATACTCCAGGCTGGCTGTGCTGATTTGAAGGGGTCATTGCATGGCTAAAATGTGAACTCACACAATCATATAAAGAGCAAAGTGCATCTTAGGATTCATGCAAGATCAAAACATCTTTATTTTACACAGTCAAGTTACAACAGCTGATGTGTTTCTACCCACTGAGGTCAGTGTCTGGGCCTTTGTAGGATCTTAGTCGGTAAGCATGTAGTACCTGTTTCTGAGTCTCAGAAGGTAAAGGTCTGTGTGTTTACGCAAAACAAAGAGACTGAATTGAGAAATATTCTATAATCACATCTTAAAATGACTTGAATCCTTTTTCAGTCTTTGAAACTGTTGGAAAAAATGAGTGCATCGAGACTGTCTAGATTTATATTAATTTAAGCCCTCCAATTTTATTTTAATTAATTAATTTTGGTTGTTATATTTTTAATTAGTCATCTAAATATTCTGCTTATTATTTATGAAATGTTCACCAGTTTAAAACGAACACGTTATCTGAACCAGCTCAGTAAATGATAATTACATGTGATCAGTCTGGACACAGTCTACACTTCACTGTCATCATCGGCAGGTACATTATTATCATTTTTTGCACAGGTGAGGCTGTTTTACCTACAACCGCTGGTTAACCTCCATCCGAGCTAGCATAGCACGCTAACGCTAGCTACAGAGTTAGCATTCAGCCGCTGGACCGTGAATGATAAAACCAAACAGGTGATAACAAGGTAGAGGCATCGCAATTAAAGCCGATTACGTGAACATTTGTTAGAATCCCCTTTTACTACCGTGAATGTACTGTTTTACACCGGGTAGTTAGAAAAATATGCATGAAGTTGACAGATGATGCACATCTAGCTTCCTAGCATAAACAAGCTAGTTAGCTAGCTCCGTTAGCAGCCCTGAGTTAAAAACACGATTTAAACGTTTACCTGCTGCTCGGTCACAAGGAGCATCCACTGAAAATCACCGACAACACGGAGACGACGATCCCCCGAGACACGTTTTCATTAAATAGATGATTTAGAAGAGGTAAACGAGCAGCTAGCCGAGCTTCTCTTTTCCTCTGACCTACTTTACATGAACTCTGAGCGTAAACAATAACAGAGACCAGCTCACTCAGGCAGCGACTCTCAACACCGAGCCTGCAAAACTCATCAAGAAAATCTAGTTTTTATTATCAGTCAGTCAAAATGTATCCATACAGCACTTTTCATACAAATCAAATTAAATTCAATACAATACAAAACAATAAAAGGTAAAGTGTTAAAGGTAAATAGAACAACTTTAAAGGACCAATCAATAAGATGTGTAGTGAGTGAAGCTGACGTTTTGGACGCCCCTCGGTTTGCAGATATGAGAGCAGTTATCAGGTCAACAGGTGTTGCAGCGATGGAAGCGGGCAAGAGAAGTGGTTCAGATAGAAGTGATTGTACCCGACCTAAAAAGCCTCTGCATGTTTCTAATAAGCTCCACGAGCAGAAACGTGCTCAAACTAGGATCAATATTGGAGATGCTTTTGAAAATGGAGAGAGGTTAGAACACAGAAAGGTTTACAGACCCATGCAGAGCTGGATAAACACTGAAGCTTCAGAGTCCACCACATGGCAACCTGCGTGAGCATCGACTCTAGAGAGGAGGGGGCAGGAGGAGACGGCTCTCTCTCTGATTTTGAATACTGCAGTATTCATTTTAAACACTAGGTGTCAGAGTTACTTATTGGGAATCTTCGGCTTGCTGCTGTTGTCTGTCTGTGTGGTTGCTGCAGGAGGTCCTGGCTGGAGGCTCATTGGGAGGATCAGCTGAACCTGGGATCTGCTGGTTCCCCTCCTTCACGCTCTGGTTACTCTGGACTTACCCAAGAAGTGCTCATTACCTCTAAGAAAACAACAACAAAGTCCCCTCATGATATTAGTTTAAATATCTCTCTCTGAGGTGTAACTTGTAAAAATATATGACTAACCTTGCTGTGGGGGCCAGAGGTCCTCTCCCAGTAATTTTTTGTTTAATTAATCTCTATTTTTAATCTTCCCTACTTTACATCCAATCCGAGTATTCTTATTAAAACTGCTAAATTTCCCTTGTTTGTTTATTATATAGACTTGTGCAAAAAGATAGTACCTGCCCACCTTTAACTGTACCTACAGTAAGAAAAACACTGCATGGCCGTGCTTGTGAAGTGAAGAAGCGTCTTCATGTTTTGGATTCTCGTCTTGTAAATGTCAGAGCAACAAGAAAAAGTCTCGACACGATGTTCTGGAGGAGGTTGAGTTTTATTTGGAAATCTGACAGGCATGGCTGAACAGTGAGCTCTCACCTTCAAAACAAACAAACAGAAACTCAAGACAGCAGCACTACAGGTAAACGATACTAGTGTTTGAGAATGTCATATTAAACATAAACCCACTCACACACACTCAGGTCCTTCACACACACCACACACACACACACACTGTCAACCCCATGTCAACATGTGGACATCCTCCATTAATAATCACACTACATCCAGAGGAATTCCAAGCACTTTGAACAATTACCCACAGTGCAATTAACTAACTATACACAGATAATTTATATATTTTGATGTATATAGGGTATTCCATAAACAGTATTATTCCATTTAGACAGTTTCATTAAGTCATAATCTTCAACTTTCCATAAATAGTTAAATAAAAATTACGTCTCATCAGCTCCTCATCGCCATGATTCAAAAATGGTCCCCGAACAGAACATGAAAAAATAAAACACTAATGTGCACGATTTTTCAGCAGTTTCAAACTGAGAACGATCAAAACCACCAACGGAAAACAAAAACCAGAAGAGGAGGGGGATGGGCTGGGGGGTAAACGTTGATATTAACACTCACAGCACAGACTGGTTACTACATTTACAGGGGGTGGAGGGACTCTGGATCACTGTACAGGTTAAGATCAGACAACAAATCAAGCAGACTGTCCACACATCATCCCACAACAACCACTACATCTTCATGCCCGTTCTGTACGCACAACACCTGACACAACTGGATGGCTTTAAACAATATAGAAGGATCACATCTACCGAGGACACGGCTGTCAATCAGACCGCCAGCATGTTTCTGTTGCCATCCCGTCCTGTCAGAGCGTCGGGGTGTAATGGAAGTTGGTGAAAATCTCCTATTTGTTCTTGCTGCTTCGATGTGGAATGAATGAGATGGTGTTTGATGCACACACTTATTTTGTGGATAGGATGAGGGCCACGATGAGGCCGTAGAGCCCCAGCACCTCGGCAAAGATCAGGATCAAGATCATGCCCACGAAGAGCCGGGGCTGCTGGGCGGTGCCCCTCACACCAGCGTCACCCACTATGCCGATGGCGAACCCGGCCGCCAGACCGCTCAGGCCCACGCTCAGCCCAGCACCGAGGTGCAAGAAACTCCTGGTGGAGAGAATCGGAGAAAAGAGTCAAATCATTTCACAACCTGCATGATTCTGTGACATAATCTGGGAAACTGCTGCAGCACATGTTTGATTAAATACTTGGTTTTGATATTTGAGATGATTGACAGCACAGGGAGATACCATCAGCGTGCTCTGTATCGAATACGTGCCTCTAGAGAGGCCTACAGTCAGTGCATCATCGTGTCCTGGCAAATGAATGTTGAAACATACTGAGTGTACAGATGGACAGTAGAGAAGTAGATTATGATGCATGAGTGGTTTTCTGGGGCTCTTAGGAGGATGACTCTTTGTCCTTCAAGTGACGCTAATAAAGAACGTAATGACGTTAAACATTAGTCAAATATGTCCCAGTTTTAAAAGTTTATAAGTCTCTGAAAGCCGCCGGAAATCTGGCCTGAATAGTAAATATGCATTCATGATATCAAAATTAAATGTCTTAAAAAGCATCCACAAACTCTGATCTATAAACGTTGCTAACATTTCAAACCAGCCTCAATCTAAAATCAGCTCATTTAGCTGTTTGGACTTTTTTTCCCCAAGTCTGTGTGCGCCATGGTTTGATTGACATCTTGCTAGTTATGATTGGCATCTCCCTGGCAACACACAAAAAAATTGCCTCTTGATCCACCACACTGCATATTGCAACTGCTTGAGTAGTCGGAGACAAACCCAGAGAGGGAAGCCAAAGGCATCTTGAAATAAATCATCTGTGTGTTGAGATAAAAAAAATAAAAAACTTCAGCATCTATTCCATAAAATCACTACTTACATTCCTGTCCTCATCATTCTCTGAAAAATCTCTGAGATGCTCTCAAAGCTATGAATGAAAAGCTTAATGACGGCTCTGTAGTGTTAGCTTTTTCTGTGTTATAAGAAACATAAACTCCCACCAGGGATGCCCAACACCAGTCAAGAAAACGGATCAAGTGCTTGAATTAACTCCTGCAGCAGAAAATAGAAATCTGTAGTTACCTCATCAGCCACAATCGTTAATAATTAACTGAAGACAAATCTTAAAACACTTGATTAGCTACGTTTTCTCTTCACACAGACTTTCTTCTGCATGCAACCAAAGCTGTTATGTCATCAGTTACTTTTTCTCTGACCACAAATGAGAAGCGGAAAATTTTGTGAACCAGAATTTTTTGTCAAGAAAATGCAGAGTAATGAGGAGAGAGGCAGGTAAAGAGGCAATAAGAAGAGCTACTGCAGCAAAACTTTCTGCCTTCTGCTTCCTTTTATTCTCAATGCAGAGCATCGCTACAGCAGGTTGTGGTAAGCCACTGTTTTGTTTACAATGTGAACAAAACACCCGAGAGGACATAATTCCAGCAAACATGCTTATCATTACAACATCCTACAGCGTGTCATGCATCATTCTTTAAATATCTCGTAGTGTGTCCATGATCGAAATGAGAGAAATATGTCTGAAGTTTCTCCAAATGTTTGTGATTGAACCTTTTTCTTTAATCTGTTGAAGATAAGATAGGGCTCAGCCTAAGTGGACTCTCAGGAGAAAAACGGTTCATATGCAGCGTTAAGGAGTCTTTAACCATCTAGGAATTATTTTAGTTCATCATCCATCGAGCTCAGGACAGATGTTTCCTGAAGTTGATTAAAGGCCTGTGAGTGTTGGCCTTACACTCGTCTCTCTTTGGTTTCTTGATGCCTTTTGTAAAAGATTTAGCTAACACCTCTTAGCTTCTATTATTTCATTTTTTTATTTGTGTGAATTAAGGTCTGTGTATGCATGTGCCCCAACCTATGAGGTGTACACGGTGTAGACAGTTTCCAGATAAGTGTGGATGTAAAAATGAGTGAAACGGTTGTATTCCTCTTACTTGTAAAGAGTGACTCTCTCAGAGATGTTGTTTGCGATCAGCACGCCACCACCAGCCCGTAGATGGCGATGATACCAGCCATGACCACGGGGATGATGGACTTCATGATGAGCTCAGGCCTCATCACAGACATGGCGGCGATGCCCGTGCCGCTCTTCGCTGTCCCATACGCCGCTCCTAATGCTGAGGAGGAGAAGACAGGTTTCTTTTCATTCGTCTGTTCAATCATGTCATTGTTCTTCCTCTAAAAAAACATCAAACCAGACAAGATATGGATTCAGATGGAGCTGGGCGAGAGTGATTAATCCAGTCCATCGATTTTATATTTTAGAGCCTCGACATTCAGGCTGCAGACTAAAAGATGATCGGCTCTCTCTGCAAGTTAGTCATTTATCAAAAAAGAGACATGTACTTTCAAAGCAAATATATTCATCTACCTTAAAGAGACTCAACATAACTCTGGCCTCCTAAATACCTTCCTTTAAATTTGTATTTTTAGGCCTTTATTAGAGAGTAGGGACGGTGGTTAGCGTCTGAAATCAGGGACAGAGAGAGAGGGGAATGACACGCATCATAAATTACATTTTTATAGTTTCTTTTCTTGATGTTTGATACACCCGACCTGTTTTTTAATAACTACAGCCCCTTGGTTTATCGCTCCCTCTGACTTTAATGTTGTTACTCTGATATTTAAATTGTGCAAACACTTGAGAACTAAAGTCTAAAACAACCATTGTGTGAATCTATAAATGTTTAGTTGCTGACGCCTCGTCAGAGAGGTGTTGATTGAACTACTTCATGCAGCCCGCTGTAAATATGAAACGGTTTATCACGTTACAATCCGCCGATGTTTCACCAACTAAACCACTTTACTTCTACATCCATTTTTGACTTGCACTACATCTCACTGAACAATGAGTAACAGGAAGCTCATCGTGTTCAGAGCTATTCTCTGTTACCTGGCAAACATCAGTCTGACAGACTGATTTCTGATTAGCACATTTAGCTGTGCAGAAACTATAAACAACTCTGAACACAGGATGTTTACCGTGGAGACCAGATGAGTAAACAAAAAAAACAGATATCAGATCCCATCACGCTGCTCTAAGGCCCCGTGTCCACCTGGTGCATGACAGACACTGCTTGGTTACTTTTTACTGCATGCTTTTTTTATTTTATTTTTTAGATTGTTTATATCCCGATCAGACAGCATTTCTGTTGCCAATGAGCCCAGGAGGAGGAGCCCAGTTTGAATGTTGTGTTTACAAGCTAAAACAAACATTTCCTCTGACTCCACCATTAAGACTGTTTTACTGCTCTGAACCGAGCTGCATTTACCGTTATATTCTGAGAGGTAAAGGCCACAAAGAGGAATCTCAGAAACATTCAGTAACGAATTTCTGATCCAGATGTGCGCTCTGCAGTTTTTGTTTTGTGTGAAAGTGCAGCATAACCCTTTGTCCCTACCCATTTCAAATATGCATAAAGTTCCTTGAGACACAGGACAGATAATGAAGGTTTGCAAGCCACATTTCCTTACAGTGGGTCTTCCGCTTTACAAAGATGTCAGTAATTAGATAATTATGAAGAAGTGTTCAGTGTTAAAGTTTCCTATTGCCTTAAACGTTGCATTGTTATTTCTGTCTCGTACGATTGTCACCTCGAGAAATTCTGGCCTGACTCATCTGTGAACAAACAAAAATCTGTTATGACACTTGAACAGCACCCAGCACAGAGATTTACTGAGGGACACTAAGCTCAAGATATACTACTGCCTACATGACTCTTTACACCAATACAGAATTAATTAAAGCAGAGCCTGACTGATACCAGATAAGTGAGATAAATGTGAGTTTACATATTAATATGATGCTACTTTTATAGTTAATCATCTGGAGACAACTGGAAATCTAGATTTCAGGACAGTATCCAGAGTTTCCCAAAGAAACTTGGTAGGATGTAAACTACGTCACAGTGGGGAGACAGGTTTGCATCTCTGGGTACCAAAGCAAAACTAAAAAGTGTCCTGAGCCCCAATTTATAGTTCTCAAAAGACTTACAATCTGGGCCAGGGTGAAGTTTAACAGTCGAATGTAATGACAGATGTCAATGTCGTCGCTCAGAGAGACAGAGGAGGTAAAAGTAGAGGCGTTTAAAAGATAACACATTGAGAAAATAGAAAAACTATGAGGTGTGTGTTGGGATATTTTAACACATCAGTGGATGGAAGTCCTCTGCCCTACATTCATATAAAACTATTTTAGATTTAATTACAGGTGCAAGAATTCACTTGGGTGTCTGCCACTCTGTAACCCAAACAAAGAGTTTCACGTTAATAGGAAGGAATAGAGTTGTCATGATAGCAGAATTTGATGTGATTCTAGTTAGAAATCACACTTCATTGATACCACAGCATCAAAAACAGAAGCCCTAGGCATCAAATAATGGGTACTTTCCTGTACACCGTCTAAATTACACGTATGATGTATTTCTTCATATGTGATTCATCCCTCTCCTCCACACATGTCTGATGAAATATATGTTGGTTTTTTGGCAATAAAGCGGAGAATGAATGAAAACACATGGAATCAAAAATATAGACAACCATAGAGGGGACTGAATCCATTTAAAATTGCTGGTACCTAAACATTGCCAATGAATCTGTGCAGTTTTGATATCGTGCAGGAGTTTGCCTGCAATTTCTGATATCTGAACACAGGGAATTACCAAATATTGCGTGCATTGAATGCATATATTTGAAGCAAGTGTCCATATCTTGATTACTACTTTGATTGTATTGAAGTTTATGATTCTGGTATCATGACACAAACCTTCTCGAGTCTGTCTCTGTAATGCATAAGATATAAAAATATAAGCCATGTGTTCTTGGATTATTGTATCCTGAAATGCAAAATGTACATGCACTGAGTAGCACGCCTTCAAAAAATTGAAAAATACTGAAATTACCTCCCGACAAGGAGAAATGTCCCTTTAACTCCCCATGCTGATGCTCAGGCCTTACTGTGGCCCTCCTGTTTTATGTGTCATTACAACCAAAAGCAATCACGCGATGGATTAAATCTCTGAATTTAGGTATTTTTATGATAATGACTAAAGATCTGGATGTTCCTGCGCTGTGAAATGACGTCATTTTGACAGATTAATGAGGATGTGACCTCGACGAGGGTCTGCGTCACTGACCAGCGGCTACAAGGGTTAAAAAGCTGTGATGTGACATGATATCAGCAGACTCATGTAGGATGTAGTTAGCTTTCATGTTAACAGTGAGGATGTGGTTAGTGGTCTGCAGAGTGATGTCGGGAGGAGGGGGGGGAACCTTCATCTCTCCCCCCCCTCCCCTCCCTCCTCCTTCTCTGCCCCGCATCCCTGGCAGGTGTGCGCGAGCCGTGACCGACTAACACCATCGGTCGTTCCTCCTAACACGGCCCCATCCCGCTTTGTTTCTCACAACGACACGAAAATACGAACGCAGGCTTAGCTAATAAGTCGTTAGCTTTGAAATAATGATGACAAAAGGCTTAAAGGCGGCGGGATGTCAGATGAAGGAGCTGCTGTAGTTACCGCTGAACACCATGGCCGCAGAGGCTCCCATCACAGCGAAGAAAGGCGAGTACTCGGGGCTCTCCTCGGACGACATTCTCGCACTCTTCTCGGGGCGATACAGCTACAAAGGCAGGGTAAATTATCTTCGTACTCGGACGTTGCCCCGTTTCCCACCGTCAGCGCCGGGCAGGCTAAATAAAACACTTAAGAAAAGTGGGCGACGACGTAGCTGCCAGGAAGATCACCGGTGTAGAGGAGGAAAATGGCGAAACGGAAAAAGTCAGATGATCGGGCAACTCGGACTGAACCATTTGTGAGGGGGCGCGGGGGGGCGGCCTCGCGTCACAAACACGCCTGGAAATCTTACCCACGTTGTTTACCACATCGCTGCATAAATTGTTGAAATTAGAATCGCTTGATATTAATTATGACATTGAGTTAATTCTTCAGCATTCTGTAACACCTCAAGTTTATTTTGCGGTGAGTGTGTGTGTATTGTGGTATGTTCTGCTGCAAGTGCAGTGACTGCAGTTGAACCGCTAGTGGGCGCTGCACGCTGATATAGCCTTTCTATAAATGGGTGTCAAATAGATATAGTCAAATTAACTATCATCTCTGTATTTGCTTTACATATTTAAAAATACTACAACTGATTTACCGCAAGGCGAGGAAATGAATTATTAACCATGTGTAATTATTCTATTTTCCTCGTTAAATACCATGACAGGGAGAGGTTAAATAAAACATAACACACCCTGTAGCAGACAAACAAACTGAGATTGTCTTGAATGAATGACTCATACACACCCTTGTTTGAGTGCTTATAATATCAGCTAAGGACATTTCATTTCATGGTTCCCCTCATGTTTTGACGAACCTTTGGGTAGATTTCGTCCCCATATAACTTTACCCGATCATATTTTATTGATTGATTCATTAATTGATATCTTTATTTCCAACATGTTTATGAATACAAGAAGATCAATAATGCAATAAACAATAACAGTGTACACAAACAACAATAACAGCTAAGATATTCAACAAGAAGCAAACAGAACAAGTTGGAGCACAATCTCTCCTCTTTTACAAAAAATATGATTTATGTAGTTTATTGATCAGTGTATTTTGTGCGTTGTTCGAGGTTATTTCCGCCCACAGCGTTTTAAGCACTTACTCCTCATTGTTTTCCGAGCACACAGATTTGACCTTTTTCACACTCTTAAATTACCTTTAATGTTTATTCCGCCCAGTGAGTCATTATTCAGTAAAAGTTTGTTAATACATTGTTTCTTTAGACTTGATATGAGGAAGGGTTTTATGAAAATAAAACCCACAAGGGGAAATTCTGTTTTTACACTCTGTAATCATGCAACGCACACATAGGCTGAAATATACACACAGGATCCTATGGACATGCACTAATGGAGAGATGTCAGAGTGACGGAGCGGCCCCGGCAGGTGCTTAATGATCTATATCATTGAAAAAGATTATGTAATGGTAAATAGACTTGAGCTTGTATATTTCTTTTCTAGTCTTCTTACTCCTAAAAGCGCTTTTACACTGCAGGTCACACCTACACATTCACACACTGATGGTAGAGGCTGCTGAGTAAAGAGACCATCAGTATTAACTCATCCATTCATACACATTCACACGCTGCAGACGAAGCAGCGGGAGCAACTCGGGGTCAAGGCCTAAGCCTATAGGTCACAAGTTAGCCCGTTTTTCCTCATGTTTCTACAGTGTTCCACCTCTCATTCTTCCACTCAAAATGATCATCTGCAACCATCCTTCATAGAGCGGCTGTGGCTCAGTGGGTAGAGTCGGCCATCTCTCAACAGGAAGGTCGGGGGTTTGATCCCCAGCTCCTGCAGCCACATGTCCACTGTGTTCTTGGGCAAGCCACTTAAACCCAAGTTGCTCCTGCTGCTTCGTCTGCAGTGTGTGAATGTGTATGAATGGATGAGTTAATACTGATGGACTCTTTACTCAGCAGCCTCTACCATCAGTGTGTGAATGTGTATGAATGGATGAGTTAATACTGATGGACTCTCTCACAGCAGCCTCTACCATCAGTGTGTGAATGTGTAGGTGTGACCTGTGGTGTAAAAGCGCTTTGAGTAGTCAGAAGACTAGAAAATACATATACAAGCTCAAGTCCATTTACCATTTACAACGCTTCGACTTTAATGATGCTGCATCTGTGTTCTGCAGTTTCAAGGAGAAAGGAAACTACCGCTGGCATAACAGCTCAACAGGTAAACTCAGGCACAACCAGCAGCTCAGACACAGCACAGAACATTTAAATAAACGTTCCTCACCCTGCCTTGAAAAATGACTTTTTCATCTTGGTGAAGAGTGCCATCAGAGGTACAGACTGAGTGATTTTATTGGATTAAGAGTCAAATAAAATATGTGGTAGTTAAATCTAAATCTGTTTTAGGCTGAGGAATGTGTTGGTGAAACTTAATTGAGCAGAAAAGTTTTGATATCCACTCATGTTTGAAACAGCTCCAAATCCAGCTTTTTTGTACTGTCGCTTTATATTGTTCTCTGTTATGTGTTAAATCCCCTCTGTAAAGTTTTCACTGCTTGTCACTCAGTTTGAGACCTTTCTGTAATGTTCAGTCGTGTCACGAGACCGTACTTAGGAGAAAAAGGAAACTTTGAATGAAGGAGTGAAATGTGAGATCAGATCACACGAGAGAACGTACGGCCCACACATGACTGTCAGCAGCCTCTCTCAATATGAAACAAAATAAGTCTTATTGTGGTCAGAGCTCATTCATGTGACTCCAACATAACAAAATGCAGCTCTAAAGGAGGAAACATTTGTATTTAATTTCCAGGATCTTCATCTCTGCCAGAGTGAAAAACAAATGGTGCCCTTACTGTAGAGACAGGACAGTGAATAGAGTCAGGAGAGAGAGAGAGAGTGGGCAACGACATGCAGGAAAGGAGCCACACACATTCGAACCTGGGCCGCCCACTTGGAGGACTGCGGCCTCCTCACATTGGACAAGCACATGAACCACTACACTACCAGTATCCCCTGGTGATCCACTTTTTACCTTTTTACCATTCAAAGAGCAGACTTAAATAGATTTCTTAAAGACTGGATTCAAGAAAACGACGACATTTGAACCACATCTTGAGCTTCAGATAAATGTTGCTTTTGGAGAAGTTTGTCAGGAATATGTTTGAATCTTAATTTTGACGTAATATCAAACGTGTCTACCTTAATCAGGGCATTTTCATCGCAGGGCTGTTGTTATAAAGTGTCTCTAGACTTCGACTTTATTGTCTCAAAGGGAAATTCTTCTTCACAGCACTGTTCAGGTTTGACAGCAATCAGCATGTAGTGACAGCACAGAGAGTAACAAAAGTAAACATCACACAAAAACAAACAGGTTCAGCGAGGCCAGCTGTGGAGGGCAGGGATCAGGGATCTACCTCTCAGTGATCTGTACTTCTGCTCAGAGGGCAGAGGAGTTCAGGTGCAAACAGTCAGTTTATGTAGAGTGACTGCTTCTGAATGTTCAGGATGTAAAAAGCTGTCAAACTGACATCTACATATTTATGTTATACTGTACTTATGAAGTGTTTATAATGTCTAAATAAACCAACAGCACCCTCTGCTGGCTGCTTGTCTGACCTGTCAGCAAATCCTTCAGGATCTTCTCTTTCATGTGACCGACTAATCTGCAAATATTTTTTTTATTTACATTTTCATCATAAAAACTAAAATGTTCTTCGTTGTTCTAAATTCATCTCTTTCTATTCATGTGTTTTGTTTTCACAATCCACAATCCCAATTATGTTTGTGTGGCATGTAAAAGGTGCACCAGCATTTTGTATTACACGGTTATGTAACTTTCATCGGCGTTTTCTCCGTGCAAGGGAAGGTCAAATGAAGGAGAAAAACGCAAAGAGGATAATCAGTTCTCACTGGGTGGTCATACGTGAGGATCGACTGTTTCTGAGTGTGGATTTAGATATTCTAATATTTGCAGGCTTTGGGATCAGAGGTGATTCAAACATGTTAAGCAAAGAATAAAAACACGACTCCATGTGTTACAGACACCTCTGCCTTTTAATGAAAGATCAGGTTAAAATAATACACTTTAATGAAAGAAGCAGACATTAAAAATCACCATAAATATGCTACATGATCCTAATCACACTCTGCTCTCTAACACGATTGAGTAAATGCCATGATGTGTGTAAGGGCGGCTCGGTGTAAGGCTGTACAGGAAACACATGAAGGACAGATCTCAGCAGCGTTCAGTAAAAGTGAAAACATCCCAAAACTGTGCAGGAAACTCTAGATGTGAACCAAAGACTAAAGCAAAGACGTCTCAGCACACACACACACACACACACACTCACACACACGCATGGTAAAACTCATCCATACAAGCAGACTCATGCTCTAAATTTCTGAATCTGCAGGAGACTTTTGCAGGATTTAGCGTTAATATTTCAACATCCTGATTGCATTTGGCAAAAACAGAACTAAAGTTACTATTCTCATATAAAAAACATGAATTCACTGATAAAAAAAAACAAAAACAACAACAAGCCCGTTCCGTCGCTCTAAGCATTCCCAAACCTCTGAATCACTCAAACATGATCAACGGGTTGAACTGGGTCGGATAAATCTAAGTGTGCACCTTTAACTTAAAAGGAAAACCCCAAAAATCTGCATTCCATTTGTAAGGTCAGATTATTTGACTCTCATTGGCCCCGCCCCCTAAAGACTGAGGCTGTTCCGTGGTCGCTTACGAGGGTTTAATCACTCAAACACTTGAAAATCCAGCACTCACACACGTGTCTGTGCCACTACACCTCCCAGTCTCTCACACACACAAACCCCGACACTCACTCGGTCCATGTCCCAGCACAACTAGCAGGCGGGATAGAAATCTCAGCAAACGTGTCGTCGTGATCACTGGAAGAACATGAAGAACAGAAGACATAAGGCATCACATGCTATTCTTGGCAAAGCCGGACGAAGTGAAAAGTGTGGCACAGCGATGGCTCTGGAGCGGGATGAGGAAGCTACACCTTTTGAAGACGAGCGGGATGCAACTTGTGAAAAAGTCATGGAGAAAGACGAAGGCTGCCCGCTCAGTCCCAGCCGTTGTCCTTTATCATGTGGGACAGCTCGATGATGAACTTCCCCTCCTTGTACTTCTGACTCAGCTCGAAGGCCTGTTCCTGCAGGGGGGGGAGAGAGACAGAAAATATGACCACTACTACACACTGACATAAGGAGG